GTACATCAGTGTGCTGTTACGGGTATGAGGGCGGTTGTCACTTCCCGGATGCCCACACCGTGAGAGGTTGTTTCTTGAGGGACCTGAAAAGGAAGGTAGATTAGTGTTGGTCTTGGAGACCTGGGAGCGTGATTGCAGAGTCCAAGGGGGACAACTGCTTGAGGCCGGTCACGCACGGCCTTTTTATGAAAGGTATTTGGAGGATTAGCTCCGTTCTTAAAGGCCCTTAGTGGGCACCCTTACCCAAGGAAACGGAAATCCGTGAGGTAGGGTGAGGTGTGAAATTTTTGGGTCGACCTTTTCTAACCCTTCCTCCCTTGTGAGAAGGCAGCATCGCTGCAGATGCTGGTTGTCCGAGGGAAACACCTTACTGCTGTCACACCCCTCTGCAGTCAGCAGTACGACTTCGCCCTGAGACCTTGGGTAGCTGCTTTTAGTCTCATCGTTCTCCAATCGACCTGTCTGGCATGGTAGAACCTTGAGGAACATATGTTCCAGCCAGTATAGCTCGGTTGGGTCATCACGATAGGCAAGCCCGACCACCACGTCAAGGTAGCAGCTACGGTGTTTGTTAACGAGATGATCTTAAGTGATGTTAAAGGTATAAAGGTGGCTGTCACTTTTCTATTGCTTACACCGTGAGAGAAAACTTTCTCTTGATGAAGCTGAAAAGAAAACTGGATTAGGAGTGGTCTTTACGATTAGAGGTTGTTACTGTAAAGCTTAAGAACTAACTGAATAAAGCGGGTTATACACTTTCATCATAGAAGAGTTGTGTTTTGGTGCTTAGGGAAACACTTTACTGTTGTCTCATATTTCTGTAAGGCTCCCAGTATGATTTCATATTTGGTTCATTAGTTGTCCCATTCAGATTGTACCGCTCACTCTCAATCATCGTGCTTGGGATTGCGGAAACGAAAAAAAAATGAGTGTTCTGATCAGTTTAGATTGATTGTGTCGTCACAACCATTACAATTAGGTAAGGGCTACATTCTGAAGCAGTGGTTAACGGGGGTGGGAAATGGAAACATCCGTTGATATTGGCTTAATTACTGAATTTACAAACCCAATAAAATTATTTTCTTGTTCGCCAAGATATCTTATTCTAGTATTCACTAATAAAACATATTCACCGAAATGTCATGTTGGTAGATGTAGACTACCTGGTTGGGGTCCGCGAAGCGAAAGTCACCAATGGTTAGAGAGAGACCTTGGACAACATGGCTCAAAATCGTTTGCAATGGCGCAGGTGCATTCATTCATTGTGTTCTCTCAAATTCTAACCTTCTGAATTCCTCATCATCTCTATCTTTCTCCTTCTAAATTTATCTCACTGAATTATACTTCTCGAATCATATCTTCGCTCCCTAATCTCCTCCATTACTGCTAATACTTCTACTATCTATACCACTATTGGATTTATACTGACAGTTGAGTCTCTGTGCTAATGTGTTATGACAACCTGGAGTGATGTACGTACGTAAGAAGTTCTAAGTAACTGACTGACTGACTGATTCACCGAAATAAAATTTCAGGCGATTTTGATCGATACTCGATGATACATCACAGCGTTACTAGTTAACAATGGTATTATTGGACAGAAAATGTGAGAATGAATTGGGAAGTTATTGAACAAAGGCCAGTTTTAATTGGTATCAGCTCAATGGCCTTTACCAGAGCTTGAGACTAACAGTAACGCACGATTAATATGTCATTAAAGATATCGCAAATTAATTACCGAATAGACTTGACACTGATCTATATTATGGGCAATATGATTAAGTTTCTATATTAGACACTGTTCTCTTCAATTTTCTCTATTAAAATCTAGAAGTAGACACCATTATGCTTAAGTAATAATTTGTCTTTCCAAGAAACACTAGAATATTATTTTAGGCATTATAAGGAAGTTTCAGCAATTATTCAATAATAGTACACTGAATTCAATGGTTAACAAATTCAAGAATATTAACAATACTAATACTGTAGTGAAAAAGAACACAGGTGAGGGCAACCGAATTGTATATTTATCGAAAATTACAGAGTTACTCAGTAAAATAGGAAAACCATATCGTAAATCGTTAATTTGCAAAATATCAGTTCATCATATCGAACTGGACTGTTCCTGTTGCAAAACATCAATCCAATGTCACTATTCATGCGTTTCATACAAATTCCATTGTGTTCCCCACTCTTCCTTTCTTGATCTTCCCCCATCTTCTGCTGCCAGACATTACGTTGACTGACACTCACGTCATATACTACTTATAAGTAGTTCGCACCACACTACTACTACTACTACTCAATCTGATAAACTTTATAGTTATACTAATCATTTTCTCTCTCTCTATCCTTTATTTAGTCACCTACTCATGAAGTACGCTTAGAAGCTGAACGAATTGTCAACCAAGCTTGTAATACTCTACCTAATGGAGATAATCCTATGGAAGCATTAATTTTAAATCCAAGAATCACTATAAATATACCGGAAAATATGTCAATCTATGAAAATCTTATTGATTTATCTGTAGATGAATCAGAAATTGTACGTTTAGAACGTCAACGAATTGCAGCTCAACGTAAACGATTCATTGAAGCAAATGAGAAACAAAATGCCAAAGTTGTAAGTTCTTATCATTTTACTCTCTCACTTTCTCTCTGTCTCCCTCACAATATTGTAACCCTTGCTTGAATAATTCCCAGCTAATCCCTATTGCTTAGTATTCTCTGACCACTCAATACACTGGACAAGTTCCAAAGAATCAAAAGCACGGTGGAACAGGAAAAGATTATATTCCAAATAGCAAGGTTAAATTGGAATAAGAAGCCAAGGGAGATGGCGAAGGCAAAAATAGTTAAAACGTTAATTATTTATTGCATTTACATGAGAAGCTTCTGGATAGAAATTCACGTGATCGACTGGATTAGATTTAGCCAATCAGCACGCAGCTAACAACACGAGAATTTTTACCTTGTTCTCGAAGATTCGATCAGGCGCTGATTGGATAGGAAATTAACCAATCAGCGGGCAGCAACGTAGTTATGCTTAATTCCATCTATATCCCACTAACACACAATTTTAGAGAATAAGATGAGTTTCAGTGTGTAAGATTATCGACATTACACGTGGTAGTGGTGGCGGTTCGTATTGAGTTGAGTTTCTTTTAATCATGAAAATTCTGCATGTTTTTGCCGGAATCAAAATCTGTGTCCGCCCAAAGATAATTAAAAAATGGCCACCTGTGTATGTCAGTGTTACACCTGCATGTAAACACGTCATTTTGATATGCTTGAACTATTACGAGTTTACCTAGTCGGAAAACGAGGGCGAGGATCGAGGATCCGGCGACACGACATGCTATTCAAATCCGATTATCCCAACCCCCATATTTAGTTAAAATAAGAAGACGTGATATGAAGTAGAACCTGTATTTTACAAGCATCTAGAAAGTACGAGGTCCGAATCCAGAAGAGAATCAGGATCCCGGATTAGGGATCCGGGACCGGGTCCTGGTCCTGGTCGTTGTCCTAAAACGTTGCACATAATGCGTATTTATACATTTTGGTCGAATAGGAAACAGCATCGAAGTCTGTGACATTGACAGTTAAGACGACCAATAGGAAGGAACATTTGGAGTGACATTGATAGTCAGGACAACCAATAAGAAACAACACTGAAGCAAGTGACATTGATATCTAGGATGACCATAAAATTGACCATTAGGTATTAACCAATAATTCTCTTAGGATATTGGATAAATATCCTAACAGTCAGGTAATATCCACTCGTATAACTGGATGATTACAATCGTCGTGTCTACCTTTTGATAATAAGCACCTGATTATACTTCCTAACTGGCATTTCTTTACAAATTCGATAGTGATGAATTGCCATCTGTATAATGTATGTATGTTGGGACCACACACACTTGCTTGGTAGTGTTCGCAATGAGTTTCGAATTGGCGAAGATCGCAGTCATCTCCTTTTTCCCATAGAAATGTTGTCAGCTCTTACAGTTACATTATTGCATTTTTAGCGATCATCTATGTGACGCGGAATCGTTAGGACTTCAGTTTACCCTATAACGTATTCTCTATATTGGTTTCAGATAGATAATTCATATACAGTTGAGCCCATCGGTTGTATAACTTGTACAAGGAAACATCATTATCGAGTCTGTGCAATTGGAAAGGTAGGAAATGGGTTTGTTAAGCTATTCTCCAAATGAGATCTGAGTGGCTAAATGTGCGAACAGACTTACATCCATGTCTTTCTCAATGACTTGTTAGTGCAAGCAGAAATCAATCACCAGAGCCTATTCATCGAACAGGTAAACTATAGACTCGACAGACAAATCAAGATTATCCGGGTACAGATAGAAACCGAACGGATTAGCCATAACTGACAAAATGTTTGTTTACTCAAACAAAAAAAATCGAATGGCTGAACGAAGATTATTGTAAACAGTGAAAGTATTAGATATTTCAGAAGGCAGTGTTAACTCGGATCCATTGAAACGAATCAATCAATAATATTCCATTTAAAATGCCCATTGTTTAAGTTCAATCTCATCTCGAACTAATCATTCATTACTGTTGTAACGCTTGCTTAAATAATTCCCAGCTAAATCCTATTGCTTAGTATTCTCTGACCACAATACACTGGACAAGTTCCCAAGAATCAAAACACGGTTGAACAGGAAAAGATTATATTCCAAATAGCAAGGTTAAATGGAAATAAGAAGCCAAAGGTGATGGCGAAAGCGAAGGCATAAATAGATACAACGTTAGTTTATTTATAGCTTTTACATGAGAAGCTTGTGGATAGAAATTCACGTGAAAGACTAGATCAGATTTGGCCAATCAGCATGCAGCTAACAATACGAGAATTTTCTACCCTGTTCTCCAAGACTCGATCACGCGCTGATTGGATAGGGAATTGGCCAATCAGCGTGCGGCGACGTAGTCATGCTTTAATTCCATCTACGTCCCACCAACCATTATTTGACTAGCAATCAAGAAATTGTACTTTACTCGTAAACATGATTATTTCTGTTATTACTTACTTACACCTGTTACCCTTCATGGAGCATAGGCCGCTACACCCTACTCTGTACCGGGCCTATTTTTCCAGTTCTGTCCAATTTTTGTTCATTCTTCTCATGCCTGTCTCCATTTCTCGGTGCAATGTGTTCACTGGCCTCCCTCTTTTCTTTTGTCCTTGAGTGTTCCAAGTGAGGGTTTGCTTGTGATGCAGTTGGTTGCTTTCCGCAACATGTTCTATCCACTTCCTGCATCTCTTCCTGATTTCCTCCACACCACACCACGCCACAAAAATAGCGTATTAAATTAACACATCACCCAATAACAGTCAAGGATTTTGCGGGTGGGAAATGTAATCTCAAGGTCACCTGATCAGCCCATGCTCGAAAACATAAAATCCAAAATTAGAACCTTTATCAAGTCAGTTCTGCGGATGTAACCTTCCCAACACAATACATCATTGTTAGACCACCATTCGAAACCTGGAAGCACTGGCAGGCCGTTTCGTCCTGGTATGGGACTCAGAGGTTAGGCGCTCGCATTCAAGACCGAAGGTCCTGGGTTCCAATCCTACAAGGTGCAGGAGTCGTGGATGCACACTGCTACTGATGAGTCGTATACCAGGACAAAACTGCTTCCAGGTTTCTAATGGTGTTGTCTAACAATGATTGGTTAGTGATTTCACTGTGTAAAAACACTAATCTCCATAACTCTACTTGGGAGAAAACGACAACCTTTTCTTAAAATGGAATATTCATATGTATGTCGCCTCTACTTAAGTTTACAGTCATTTGAATTCTTCTCCACACCATTACAATACAATCCAGAGTAAATGATTTGTGAATTGTACAAATTTAATTCAACTTCAAAATGTTTCAAAAGTAGTTAGTTATGAACAAAAAAACTCTTATCAGGTTGTTGTTAGTGGGACATAGATTTGGAGTAAAGCATGATTGCATTGCGGCACGTTGATTGGCTCTTTCGTATCCAATCAGCGCTAGTCAATACTGAAGGAACATTCCAGAATCTTCTCATATATTAGAAAACTATAACTATATTAACATCTTTTTCCTTTGTAATAACTTCTATCTTCCATCTAACCTTGTTATTGGAATATAATCTGTATTTTCTGTTCAACTGTGTTCTGAATTTGAGAGAACGTCTCGAGTGAATTGGAGTCCGAGAATACTACTAAGCATTAGGTTGGAATAGCTGGGTTGTAATATAAAGAATGAATTCTAACACAGGTCATCCTCGTAAATCATAATATTTCCACCATTTAATAACAAGATTATGTCAGTGTTTATATGTTTGATGTCTGTTTCTGAAATTTGTTTAAATGCAATCCTGTTCTAACTTGCAGTCCAATGGTTGAAGGTCATATAATGTAACTATTAGTTCATCGTTTTGTATTTGTCCAATGTTCAACACACTCTGTTGTTGATGGATTATGATAGACAGAGTAATTTTTTAAAACATTTTTTGAAATGAGAATGCCGTCCTTCACAGGAACTTATTTACTTACGTCTGTTACCATTCCTGAATCATAAACTAACCATCAGAAATCATCAGTTTCCCATTTCGGTTCTATCTATCCAATTGTTGTTGATTCTTTCTATGTCTGCTTTCAATTCTCGGCGTTGTATGTGTTGCTTGGTCTACCTCGTTTTATTAAGTGTGGACGATGATTCGAAGTGGTGTAGAGAGTAGGTTGTAAGAAAGCTAGGGGCTGTCAAACCAAAACATGACGCCTGCACTTAATTACGCCAACTTGATATGCTTGAACTATTACGAGTTTACCTAGTCGGAAAACGAGACCGAGGGTCGAGGAACCGGCGACACGACATACTACTCTAATCCGATTATTACGACCCCTATATTGAGTAAAAGAAGACAAGACTTGATATGAAATAGAACCTGTATTCTACAAACATCCAGAAAGTAGGAGGTCCGACTCCAGAAGAGAATCAGGATCCCGGACTAGGGATCCGGGACCGGGTCATGATCCTCGTCATACAACGTTACAGATAATGTGTATTTATACATTTTGGTCGAATGAGAAACAGCATCGAAGTCTGTGACATTGGCAAATAAGACGACCAATAGGAAGCAACATTTGAAGTGACATTGGTAGTCAGGACAACCAATAAGAAACAACATTAGAGCACATGACATTGATATCTCGGATGACCATAAAATTGACCAGTAGGAATTAACCAATAAGAATTGATCAATAATTCTCTTAGGATATTGGATAAATATCCTAACAGACACAAATCCATGAAGTCACTGACGAATTAACTGAGTCATGTCAGTAGATGCTGACGAGACGAAAATAACCGATAGTTAGAGACCTTGAACGTCATGACTCAAAATCGCTTGCAATAACGCAGTTGCATCCACTTATTATGTTCTCTCAAATTCTAATTTTCTGAATTCGTCATCACCTCTAATCTTCTCCACTACCAATAATACTTCTACTATTTCTACCATTATAGTATTTGAACTGACAATTGCGCCTATGTGATGTGCTATGGCAACCTAAGCTGATGTACATACGTGCAACTGACTGAGCACTTGTCTTGTGACGAAGTTGAATGCTTTCTGCAATGTACGTCCTATAGACTTCAAGCGCTTCTTCCTAATCTGTTCCTCATGCAGTGAAGGAGAGCACAGGTGAGGGCAATCGAATTGTATTTATCTCAAATTACAGAGTTAATTGGTAAAATAGAAAAACCATATCGTAAATCGTTAATTTGCAAAATATCAATCCATCATATCGAACTGGACTGTTCCTGTTGCAAACATCAATCCATTGTCTGACATTTCACTATTCATGCGTTTCATACAAATTCCATTGTGTTCCCACTCTTCCTTTCTTGATCTTCCCCCATCTTCTGCTGCCAGACATTACGTTTTTACTCGCGTCATATACTACTTATAAGTAGCGCGCACCACGCTCAGTTCGAATCTGGTTCGTTCTCTCTCCTACATTAGTAGTAGTTTGTTACTCATGGTATAGCTGATCAACGGATCCTCAGTATCTTGCGTAGACAACTGTTAATAAACCTCTGTATCCTTTGATTAATGGCTTACGAGTAAGAGTATACTTAAAATAACTGTAAAAAGACAAAGCCCAATTTTTAACCAGTCAAAATACAAATAGCTATAAATGAATGTTGAGTTACATAAAACATTTAAACAAAGACTAAAGTTAAACATTAAAATCACAACTTAAGCTTGAATGTTGAAAATAGAGTAGTAGTAAAAGAATCTCATATGAACACTATATAATTTGTTAATTTGAAGTACAGAGTAAAACACTTATACCTTTGCCCTAAAACTAACTACTCACTCAATAGTTTCCTGACTATCAGTCACTACTTTTTTCTTTCTAGACTAACACTATCATTCATTAATGGAAAGTTTTACTTTTTTTTAATATATATTTGTGGGATTTTATAAATTAATAGAGAGACACATTTTTTTTAAAGCTGATTAACTCCAGCGGTCTACACGTTTCTTACATTTTATCATTTCAAAGTTTTGTTTAGCTCTGTGAAGAAGTTTCTCCGAGTTCTATTGAGAAGTTGTGACTAGTGGTGGTTCAACCCTGTTCGGGTGTGAAGCAGTGCTTATTGAAGACAGTAGATGAGGTTGCTCAAGATTGTGGATTAATCCAAGTTAGACATTGACAATGTTTGATATCGGCTCAGTGGTCTAGAAGTTAGGCATTTGCGCGCAAAACCGAAGTTCTTGGATTCGACTGTCGAGTGCTGAGATCGTGGCTATGCACTCAGTCAGTCAGTTACGATAGATACTGCATCAGCATAGAGACGCAACCGACAGTTCAAATCTCATGGTGCTAGAGATAGTAGAAGTATCATCGGTAATGGAGAAGATTATTGTCCAAAGATATTAATCAAGAAGTATAATTTAGTGAGATACGTTTAGGAAGAGAAAGATAGAGGTGATGAGGAATTCGGATATAGGATATTCATCCAATATCCTAAGAGAATTATTGGTCAATTCTTATTGGTTAATTCCTACTGGTCAATTTTATGGTCGTCCTAGATATCAATGTCACAGACTTCGATGCTGTTTCCTATTCGACCGAAATGTATAAATATGCATTATCTGTAACGTTGTATGACGAGGACCAGGACCCGGTCCCGGATCCCTAGTCCGAGATCCTGATTCTCTTCTGGATTCGGGCCTCGTACTTTCTGGGTGCTTTTAGAATACAAGTCTTGTCTTCTTTCACTCAATATGGGGGTTGGTATAATCGGATTTGAGTAGTATGTCGTGTCGCCGGATCCTCGATCCTCTCTCTCGTTTTCCGACTAGGTAAACTCGTAATAGTTCAAGCATATCAAAATAACGTGTTTATGTGCGGTCGTAACAACTAGAATTTGAGATAACACAAAGAGTGGATGCACCTGCGCCATTGCAAACGATTTTCAATCATGTCGTTCAAGGTCTCCAACCATTGATTACTTTCGTCTCGCGGGCCTCAACCAGGTAGCCTACATCTACCAACATGACTTAGTCCACTTGTCAGTGTCTTCATGGATTTGTGCCATGTTTTGATTTGACCGCGCCGAACTTTCTTCCAACCTACTTCTACACCCCAAAACATTTCTCGTCGAGGCAGTCGGCGGTTGAGCATACATAACACATGTCCCAACCATTTCAACTGTTGAAGTTTCAATACTTCATCAATCGATCTGCCATTCTTACCTATTATTTGTTTCCTAACTATAGCATTACTTACACAGTTGTCCCACGATATACGAGCACTACTGATGAGTAGTCTCATACCTGGACGAAACAGTTGTCTTTCGATGCTTCCATGTTTCCAATGGTGACTGGTCTAACATTGATCAATTCATAATTTCAAAATGTTCGTCAGAATAATTAATATCTATTTCTCTTTCTCTTCCTTTTTTTACAGAATGAACCTGAACCTGATCTATTAGAATTTTTCAATCCAAATCGTCATGTCTATCAATCAGTTAATCTGGAATGGAAAGGTATACGAAATTTATTGCCAACTTTACAACATGCTTCAGAAGATTTAGTCAATGTATTTCAACAGAAACTTCTCTGTGATTACTATTCGTATTTTTGATCAAACGATCGATCATAACAACTGTTATTGTTGTTGCTGTTGGTTTATGTTTTTCCGCGGGGGACATTGAGTGAGGCTGCGGCGCGGGGCAAGGGCGGTGCGGTGCGGTAATGATCAATTTTGGCATCCATTCATGTTACACCTTGATTGATGATTGTACAGCGCTTTTTTTTGTTAACTTTGTTTTTCTACACATATTGAAATAAAATAATTTTTGCGGTACACTGTGATAAAATATGTGTTATCGATTAATCTTACTTAAAGTAGAGACAGTGGAGGAGGAAATCAAGAAGAAGCGCTGGAGTTGGTGAATAGGCCACACACTACGAAAAGCACCTAACTGCGTCACAAGACAAGCCCTCACTTGGGACGCTCAAGCCAAAAGGAAAAGAGCAAGGCCAAGAAACGCATTACGCCGAGAAATAGAGAAAGATATGCGAAGAATGAACGAAAATTGAACAAAACTGGAAAGCGATGCTCAGGATAGAGTTGGTTGGAGAAAACTGGTGGGTGGTCTATGCTTCATTGGGGGTAACAGGCTTAAGTAAATAAGTAAGTAAAGTAGAGACAAGTATGTGATTGTTACAGTGTAAGCGATTAAGCTTCCAAACCGTTTTGTTGACAATATAACATGTCTGACTAGATTGAAAGTTGATTGACACTAACTAGATTCGTTTAGAACTTTATCTTTTCAAACAAGAGATATGCTTACATTCAATTGGGACATCGTGTACTCACTCAATGGCAGCATATATATTCGAATACACTGATAATAGTCTGAATGGTTGTGTCATCTTAGAACTTTAGTAGAGTGTACTTGTGCGTTATAGTACTTATTGTGGAGATTATTGATTTTTATGAACTGATATCATGAATGAATTATTGTTAGACGAGTATTAGAAACCTGGAAGCACTGAAAGACAGCCATTTTGTCTTGGTGTGGGACTACTCATCAGTGGCAGTGGGCATTCACAACTCTTGCTACTCGTGTTCGTGCGCAAGACCTAATGTCCCGGGATTGACAGACAGATACAACACAAAAATTCGTACGTATGCACACGATTTCAGGTTGACATACTACATTAGCACAGAGACGCAACTGTCAGTTCAAATCCAATAGTGGTAACGATAGAAGTATTACCAGTAATGAAGAAGATTAGGGTATAATTCAGTGAGATAAAGTTAGAAAGAGAAAGATAGAATCCTAGAGGTTGTGCATTTCAGTGTCTTAAGATTCTATAAAACATAATTTGAAAAAGTTTGGTTTATTTCTCGACCTCATTCTTTATATCAGTGAGATATGGCTTCTTGATTGGAAGAAATCTATTTCGATTGGATTCTATCTTTTATGAAATACTTCTGTTGTTTAATATGACCTCTCATCTATATAAGTGGGCTCTTTTAGGAGGGCCACACTCACATCCTCTGACATAAAACTCCTATCCATAAGGCAGTAGAACAGTGTAAAGGAGATTCAGTCCCATGGTAGATGGTGATCAGCGACAAGTCTATCCGCCATTATTCCCATCAGTATCCTGGAGCTTGTTGGCATCGTTGGTTTAAAATGAGGGTTTTCCAACCCCCATTAGTTGGATTCTTCGTATCCACCAACCCGGTTTAATCCCCAACAGGACATTCACTTTCCATTCTCTCAACCTCGTAAACAAATACCACTGCCGTGAGAAAACAGTGAGTAGAACTTCCTTAACAGTAGCTTTGCACACGTGGTCACATGAGAGCAGACTCTCCACATTCTGTTCCGCATATTCTTTTCGGTGTTGATTAATGGCTAACTCATTTTTACATTCATCAAAACGCCTTCATATGAATTTTAAAAAAACTCGAACTTATTGTCAAGAGAGGAAGGTTGGTATAACAAGATAAAAGAAATAAAAATTTTAATTTTTTTAAAATTCATTGTGAATGTTTGTTCATCATTACTTCTCTTTTGTTCAATTCAATATGATCAATACTCACTCAGTGTAATATTTATTTCATTTTTGTTACGCATACACGTCAGCACGTCAATTTGTTAGACTTGAACTATTATGACCTTTGAAGTTCAACCTGTTCGGATGTAGACAGTAACTAGCAAAGACAGTATATGAGGTTGAGCAACTCCGTGAATTTGATCAAGTTAGACATTAACACCGTTAGATACCGGCTCAGTGGTCTAACGTTTAGGGCGTTCGAATCCTGCGGGGTGCAGGAGTCGTGGATGAGCACTGCTGAGGAGTGCCATACCAGGACGAAACGGCCGTCTTTCAGTGCTTCCAGGTTTCTAATGGTGCTGGTCTAACTTTGATCGATTCATGGTTTCAAAAATGTGTAACTTAACAATCTTCACAACCCCTGTAATGCATATTATGAGTTCATCTTAGTCAGAAAAACGTGACCGAGGATTAAGGATCCGGCGACGCGATAGGTTACTCTAATCCGAGTGTCTCAAACCCCCCATTGAGTAAAAGAAGAAGACTTAATATCAAGTAGAACATGTATTCTACAAACATCCGGAAAGTACGAGGTTCAAGTCTAAGAGAGAATCAGGGCCCCGGACTAGGGATCTGGGTCGTAAAACGATACAGATGATGCATATTTATACAGTTAGCTCGAATAGGAAACAACACTGAGGTATTTGACATTGATAGTTAGAACGACCAATAGGAATTGACCAATAGAATTAGACTTACAAAAATAATTCGCTTAGGATATTGAATGAATATCCTAACAATTTTAAGTTTGATATTTTATTCAGTATTATTAAGTGTGAGTAAAATCAAAATCTCAATGATTAACTCTGTTTATTCATTTCGATTTGGGTCAGATAAATCCATACTATCAATCTGTATGGTTTCGATCAACAGCAACGTAGAACTTCGTACGTACGTACGTACATACGTACTGTTACGCTCGTCTCTATGTATGCTTAAACTATGACGAGTTCACCTTAGTCGAATAACGAGAACAAAACAATGAAACAGCGCCTAGGTAGGCTATTGTGATCCCTTGACCGAAGTGTACCAGCAAGAAGTCGATATAGTGTAGAAATCGTATTCTCAGAACACCCAGCAAGCACACAGAATGAATCCAAGCACTCGAATTGTGTTTATTTATACTCTATGAGACATCCTTGGGACAGTCACAGAAATAGCACAATAAAATGACACAGTAACCAATCACAGCCAAGGATTTTCCTGGTGAGAAATGTGATCTCAAGGTCAACTCATCGGTCCATGAATAAAATCCAAAATAAAGATATTTATGAAGCGAGTTCTAGGGATCTAACATCGCCAACACGTACATCAGTTGAAGTTGCCATGCCACATTAGCTCAAAGAGATTGAATTGTCAATTCAAATCCCATAGTAGTAGGGGTAGTAAAGGTATTAGCAGTAATCGGAGAGATATGCGTTCCATGATATTATTGAAGAAGTATAATCTAGTTAAATAAACTTAAAATAACAAGCTAAAGTGATGAGGAATTCAGAATTTTAGGATTCGAGAGAACACAAAGAATGAATGTACCTGCACTTGTATGGTCTGATTATGTCTAGTGTTAGATTCGACATTTCAATGTCAAGAAACAAATTATTTCAGCATTTAGAATACCTAACATATTCACCAGAATATAAACAATGTGTGTTTTGTTTTGAATAGTCATAGACTGACTCAATAAAACAGTTGTTCAATATTCATTGGATTTTTTTCAAATTGAGAATCGATTGTTAGTGAGGAAAATTGAACTGTCAAATTAAACTTGAAATTTCCATTCATATTGATTAATCTTATTAAGTATCATTTGTGAAAGGTTTGTATTTTCTTCGAATTAATATTCCGTTGTTGATAAGAAGGTCTCTTTAATTGGATATCTCAGTCTGATTTATGTCAGTCAGCTACAACGTAGAACTTTGTACGTATGTACAGTAGTTCAAGTTGCCATATCACATTAGTACAAAGAGATGTAATTGTCAATTCAAATCCCATAGTGGTAGATGTAGTAGAAGTAAAAAAAAGATTAGGGTTCAAAGATTTTTATTCAAGAAGTAGAATCTAGTGAAATAAACAGAAAGATGCAAGTGATCATGAATTCTGATTAGAATTTGAGAGAACACAAGGGATAGATGCACCTGCGCCATTGAAAACGATTTTGAGCCATGTCATCCAGGGTCTCTAACTATCGGTTATCATCATCTCGCGGACCCTAACTTGATAGTCTACACCGACCAACATGACTTAATCCAACTGTCAATGACTTCATGGATTTGTGCCATGTTTTGCTCTGACTGCCTCTAGATTTCTCCTAGCCTACTCCTCCATCAGACAATATCGCTCGTTGAAGTAGCGTTTCATTTAGTAAACTGTTTTCTTCATTCAAAAGTATATTCTTGAGTAGAGTAAAGAATTCTTTATATAACGTATACAGTGAACCCTACTTTTGCATACATGCCATTTAGAACAGTTCAAAGAATATATGCTTTACTTACTTATTTTCGCCTGTGACACCCAATTGAGCATAGGCCATCGATCAGTTTTCTCCAAACAACTCCATCCTGGGCTTCCCTTTCAGGTTCTGTCCAATTATTGTTCATTCCTCTCATATCTTTCTCTATTTCTCGGCGTAATGTGTTCCTTGACCTTCCTCTTTTCCTTTTGCCTTGAGGGTTCCAAGAGAGGACTTGTGACGCAGTTAGTTGCCTTTCGTAGTGTGTCCTATCCACTTCCACCACTTCTTCCTGATTTCCTCCTCCACTGGAATCCGGTTTGTTGTTTACAACAGTAGGTTGTTGCTGGTGGTGTCTGGCCAACAAATCCGAAGTATTTTGCGTAGACAACTGTTAATAAACACTTGTATCTTCTGGATGATGGCTTTCGTAGTTCTCCAAGTTTCCGCCTCATACGGTAGAACTGTCTTGACATTTGTATTGGAAATCCTGATTTTGGTTTTGGTTGAAAGTTGTTTGGAGTTCCAGATATTTTTCAACTGTAGTAATGCAGCCCTTGCTTTGCCAATCCGCGGCCTCACATCTGCATCGGATCTACCTTTCTCGTCGAGGATGCTGCCCAGATATGTAGAGGTTTTAACGTCCTCCAAGCCATCTCCATCACGAGCGATGTGGTTGGCGCACATAGTGTTGTATCAGGGCATCTTGCTTTTCCCTTTAGGTATATTGAGGCCTCATGCGGTTGAGGCTCCTGCAACACTGGTCGTCTTCTCTTTCATTTGTTGTTGCGTGTG